GTAAGAGTTCCTGGTATTGATGGAATTGGCTCTACAAGGAACAACAAAACTAGTTATTAATTACGTTTTGAATTACAATACATATCTTACCTACTACAACTGATATCAGTGGATAGTCATTATGTTCCAATGGTATTAATCCATTACTGCTATCAAGCTCATAATTTAATGGTCCATTGTATTGTTGATAATACATTGGATTACTATTAGTGGTTACATTGATTACTAATATATCTCCATACTGTACTTCAATATCACTTGTAAAGTTATATACATTACCATTACTTGATGTAGCAGCAGAAGCATCAACAGTTAGTGCATGAATCAGTTCAGAAGAACGTTTTAAATAAATGTTAGGATAATGTTTGCTTGTATCCTGATTCTGTGTAATACCAATTATCCAGTTAGTAATAGTACCATTACATGTGAACTGTATATCAGGAAAAGCTCTTGTATCATTGACTGGTATTACATTAGTAACTGATAGACTGTTTGTATTAAATGAACTGTCAATTGGAGGATAGTTGCAACTGTTACCTATAAAAACATTAAATGATAAATACATTTCATTAATGACATACCTAATGTAATTGGATGTATTAAGATACTTGAGTTTTGTAATATTATTTCACGATCTTCAGGATCTTTGTCAACCCTATCATCTCTAATATCAACTACTCTTCCAATTTGACCAGTACCAGTTACTTTATAAAATCTAACAACACTTATATCATCAGGAGGTTGATATACTCCTAGTCTGTAACCTCTATTAAAGTCATCCTCAAAGGTTAAAGGAGTAGGTAATGTAACACGATACAGTCCATTGGTGGTGAAATTGTCTGGAGATAATCTAAGTTCAACAGATGCTCCATCTCTATAGTTACCAAGTGTTTCCCTCCATATCTCTATTCTAGGATATTCAGTCCTATTACCAGTTACAGTTCTAATATCAACTCCAACTAATACTTCAGGCATTGAACTCATGCAATCCTCACTGAACTGCTTATCAGTGATGATCCATCTTGTTTCTACTGATTCTGCTAGTCCTGCAGTAGTTTGTCCATTGTTGTTAGTACTGCCAGTTTTAGCCTCCAGTAAGCTTAGTTCCATAAATCCTTCAGTACTACAATCATTAGACTGTACTGTACCATTTAACAATAACAACAATAAAGAAAGGAGAGAGAGAGGAGAAGAACTCATCTTGACTGTTACACAATCTCTGGAGCATGCAATGTTGATTTTCACTCTTAACATCATGACTCCCACACCTTAAATAGCCTTAACATATTGAGGATCCACTCATTACTGTTATTAGCTTTAAAAGGATTCTGTGTACTGCTTGCATGTGTGTGCATGTACAAAGATTCTGTACAAGTATAATTCATTTATGAGTATGATATTCATGTAGTAATGAGTATTAATTGCAATAAAGAATAAACACAGCTGTTTTATACTTGAAGTATTAATATTTATAAATGAACCGATTCCACTTATAACACACATCAGAAAGGATTAGTCTCATGTAGCCAGTCCCATCCTCCTTTTTGACATTTGGATGGCCAAATGTCAAAAAGGTGGACGGGTCTGGCTACATGAGACTAAAAAAGGATTGCTTTACAATATCATCATTAACTATAGAATGCATTATAGCAAATAAAAATGCAGCAACATACAATTAATAATATTAATGTACGGAAAACAAAGACAATGTACAGGTTTATAAACTGGCAACACAATCAATCAGTTCTTGTACATGTACTGTAAGTCGGTGTAGAGGGAGTGGCTTGTTTCTAAAGCTCCACCCAGTACAGTAACAGGATCCTCTTTATTAATCATTAGTAATTGTTTATCAGGTGAGGAGAAACTTGATGATATATCTGAGAAACTTGGACGATCATGAGTATCAGGATTCCTATACAATACAATGATGACATCACTATTATCAAGAGTAAATAATACCTATTCAGGTTAGGTAATATTTACTCTTGTTGCTACACATACTAATTGCACACGGAAGCACGAGGTAATTGTGTATGATTAATTTGATTATAATTGGACGAAGCCCACTAAAGCCGAACATCCACTATGATAAATTTGTTGAAAGCATACTTTGTGGTTACTTTGATGTGTGTCAACTTAGTTGCCTGAAATAGAACAGTGTTCTGTTTCAGGTAATGAAATTGCTGTTGATTTCAACAAAGTGTCCTAGTGAACACTGGGCTTAAGATGAAATATGCGTCTGTTTGTCTGCATTGTACAGGCAGTAGGATCAAAATGGCTGCTATCGGCAAGTCTGAGTGGTCAGCAAAATGAAACTGCTATCCAAAAACTTCTCTAGCAGCAAGGAAGGTCATACAACACAACAGTAGCGTGGCTTGATGCTCAGGGCTGAGCTCCTTCAAATGTTTTACTTCTTCTAGTAAGTTCACATTATTAGGATGTACACTCACTGCACTGTGTATAGTGCATTGGTATATAATGCCATTATGGATATTATTAATTTGACACAAAAGGTCAATATTTGTGTTAAATAATTATGTGTAGATACTTTTTGTCTTACAGTATAATAAATACATACCAGCATTGCATCATTAGTTTATACATTGGTTTAGGACATCCTGGAGGAGGTGGTAATCTATAGCCTGAATCAACCAGTCTAATGCACTAAAAATATAATAGATTAACAATAATAATTATTATTACTATTATTTAAATGGTATATAAATACTTCTTGATTAGTAGAGTTTTCAAATGGTTTGTGTCCTATTGACCAAATCTCATACATTACAGCTCCATAACTCCACACATCACTAGCACTCGAATATTTCTTATAATGTAATGCCTATACATACACAATTCAATATTCTAATTATATAGTTTCTAATTACTTCTGGTGCTGTCCATTTTATTGGAATCTTTTTTGATTGTGAAATATAATAAGATTCATCTTGTAGATCCCTTGACATACCAAAGTCAGCAATCTGAGACCATACTATATAAAGTCCAATTGTTAGTACTAATCTCTTACCTTGCATATTCCTGTTCCTTCATCTGATACTAATATATTTCTTGCTGCAAGATCTCTGTGAACAAACTTCTTCCTTGACAAGTACTCCATTCCTGAAGCAATTTGACGACAAAATGAGAGCAAAATAGAAGGAACTGATGATAATACTAACTCCCCAGGACTAAGAGAAGAGAGAGACAAGAGATATTA